AGAGGGAAGGTTATATTGGGGCTGACATCTTTCTGGCTGGAGGGGAGGTTATCTTGGGGCTGGGATGTCTGTAGTTGAGGATGTTATTTGTGGTTTATGGCCATTCAGATCTTGGCCATTAGGCTGATGCCATTTGGATTTAGGTGGTCTTTGCTCAAGATGAAAGTTAAAATGACAGTACTTGTCCAAGATGGTGATACTCCTTCTCTGTCAATATGGGGAGTCTAAAAAAAAAAAAAAAAAAAGCCAAGCTCTTAGAGACATAGAACTGTGGTTACCAGGAACTAGGGGTGGGAGGAAATGAGCAGATATTGGGGCACAAATGTGTGGGCTCTCTGCGCGCTTGCACAGGATTAAGAATTGAGTTTGCCCCAAATTGGACAGTTTTAGTTGTGTGTTCAAATAGTTTCACTTGACTCTTGGGGCTGGTAAGGTTTGCTGGAAATTTGCATGTGCATTGTACATATACACACTAGCGTGGTATTTGAATCAGTGCTCTGAGAATTTTAAAGAAATATACTTTTTATTTTGAGATGAAGTCTCGCTCTTGTCCCCCAGGCTAGAATGCAATGGCATGATCTTGGCTCACTGCAACCTCCATCTCTTGGCTTCAAGCGAATCTCCTGCCTCAGCCTCCTGAGTAGCTGGGATTACAGGTGCCTGCCACCATGCCCAGCTAATTTTTTTTTTTTTTTGTATTTTTAGTAGAGATGGGGTTTCACCATGTTGGCCAGGCTGTTCTTGAACTCCTAATTTAGGTGCTCTACCTGCCTTGGCCTCCCAAAGTGCTGGATTACAGGCGTTATCCACTGCACCTGGATCTTTTTTTTTTTTTAGACAGAGTCTTGCTCTGTTACCCAGGCTAGAGTGTAGTTGCACAATCTCAGCTCACTGCAACCTCTGCCTCCCAGATTCAAATGATTCTCCTGCCTCAGCCTCCCGAGTAGCTGGGATTACAGATGCCCACCACTGCACCCAGCTAATTTTTGTCTTTTTATAGAGACAGGGTTTCTCCGTGTTGGCCAGGGTGGTCTTGAACTCCTGACCTCAGGTGATCTACCTGCTTCAGTCTCCCAAAGTGCTGGGATTACAGGTGTGAGCCACCACGTCCGGCTGAGATGCAGTTTTTCTATCTCAGCACAATATACTCATGAAGCATTTACCATCACCCTTAAAAAAGACCATGTACAAGGTGTGGTGGATTAACTCGTGAATTACACAGATTCATCAAAATGCCAGCTCCTCCTTTTTGCAGAGTAAATTTATGGCAGTGGGCATCTCTCTTCTCTATCCTATTAATCTGGATGTACAAGTTTAATGCTAAATTTTAAAAGATGAGGTCAGGTGCAGTGACTCATGCCCGTAATCCCAGTATTTGGGGAGGCCGAGACAGGTGGGTAACCTGAAATCAGGAGTTTGAGACCAGCCTGGCCAACATGGTAAAACCCTGTCTCTACTAAAAATACAAAAACATTAGCTGGATGTGGGGCAATCTCAGCTCACTGCAACCTCTGCCTCCTGGGTGCAAGTGATTCTCCCACCCCAGCCTCCAGAGTGGCAGAGACTACATTTGCCTGCCACCATGCCCGGCTTTTTTTTTTTTTTTTTTTTGTATTTTTAGTAGAGACAGGGTTTTGCCACATAAGCCAGGTTGATCTGGCCCTTCTGACCATAGGTTCAAGTGATTCACCCACCTTGGCCCTGGTTTTAGGGTGGGGGCTTGCAAGTGTGAGCCACCACACCTGGCCACGTTGACAGACATTGAATTTTCTTTTGATGAGGTGGACAGGATGGTGATTCACTGTTACTGGACATTGATGAATTTCCTTGGAGATGGAGTCTCATTTTCTTACCCAGGCTGAAGTGCAGTGGCATGATCTTGGCTCACTACAATCTCCGCCTCCCAGGTTCAAGTGATTCTTCTGCCTGGGACTACAGGTGTCCGCCAGCATGCCCGGCTAATTTTTTTTGTATTTTTAGTAGAGACAGGGTTTCACCATGTTGGTCAGGCTGGTCTTGAACTCCTGACCTCAAATGATCTGCCTGCCTTGGCCTCCCAAAGTGCTGAGATTATAGGCATGAGCCACTGTGCCCGGCTGAATTTCCTTTTGAGGCAATGAAAATGTTTTGAAAATTGATATATGTGGTGGTTGCACTATATTGTGAATGTACTAAATGCTACTGAATTGCCCACGTTAAGAGGGTTAATTTCATCTGGGCACAGTGGCTCACACCTGTAATCCCAGCACTTTGGGAGGCGGAGGCAGGTAAATCACCTGAGGTCAGGAGTTCGAGACCAGCCTGGGCAACATGATGAGACTCCATCTCTACTAAAAATACAAAAATTAGCCGGGGGTGGTGGCGGGCACCTGTAATCCCAGCTACTCGAGAGGCTGAGGCAGGACAATTACTTGAACCTGGAAGGCGGAGTTTGCAGTGATCAGAGACTGTGCCACTGCACTCCAGGCTGGGTGGCAAGAGTGAAACTCCATCTCAAATAAATAAAAAATAAAATAGAAATGATTCAAATGAATGTTCAGCACCTGAAGAAAAATTCTCGATTGGTAGAAACACAAAGAAACCCTCAAAGACCGTACACCTACAAAATTCTGCTTTATATTCCTGTGAGCAGTTTCAGTCACATGCGGTAGGTTCCTGTCGTTAGTTTATACAATATTTTCCCTTTTTGGCTGGCTTCTTTCTTTCTTTTCTTTTTCTTTGAGACAGAGTCTCACTCTGTCACGAGGCTGGAGTGCAATGGTGCCATCTTGGCTCACTGCAACCTCCGCCTCCTGGGTTCAAGTGATTCTCCTGACGCAGCCTCCCTAGTAGCAGGGATTACAGGCACCCACCACCACACCCAGCTAATTTTTATATGTTTAGTAGAGATGGGGTTTCACCTTGTTAGCCAGGCTGGTACATGTAGTCTTGATTTTTTTTGCAGAGGCAGAGTTTTGCTCTGGTCACCCAGGCTGGAGTGCAATGGCACGATCTCAGCTCACTGCAACCTCCGCCTCCTGAGTTCAAATGACTCTCCTGCCTCAGCCTCTCAAGTAGCTGGGATTACACGCACCTGCCACCACGCCTGGTTAAATTTTGTATTTTCAGTAGAGACGGGGTTTCACCATGTTGACTAGGCTGGTCTCGAAGTCCTGACCTCAGGTGATCCACCTGCCCCGGCCTCCTAAAGTGCTGGGATTATAGGTGTGAGCCCCTGTGCCTGGCTGTAGTCTTGATTTTTATCCCACTTAGTGTGAATGTTAACAACTCTCTCACTGTAAAAAAAACAAAAAAATAGATACGGTGTTTGGTTACAAAATGCTGTCCTGACCCCATTGAAGCGAGGCATAAAAGGTGCATAAGCCTTGTACATCATCTTTAAATGCTGGATTTTTTTATTTTTTGAGACAGAGTTTCGCCCTTGTTGCCCAGGCTGGAGTGCAGTGGCGTGATCTTGGTGCACCTCCACCTCCTGGGTTCAAGCGATTCTCCTGCCTCAGCCTCCCGAGTAGCTGGGATTACAGGTGCGAATCACCACACCCAGCTAATTTTTGTATTTTCAGTATAGACAGGGTTTCACCATGTTGGCCCGGCTGGTCTTGAGTGATCCGTCCGCCTCTCGGCCTTTCAAAGTGCTGGGATTACAGGCTCGAGCCACCGTGGCTGGCCCAATACTGGAAAATTCCAAGTTCCAAAATGCATTCAAGGTCCAGTGCAGTGGCTCACGCCTGTAATCCCAGCACTTTGGGAGGCTGAGGCGGGAAGATTGGCTTCCCGGGAGATTGGAGTTTGAGACCAGCTTAGGCAACATAATGAGACTTCGTCTCAAAAAAAAAAAAGAATAGTCGGGTGTGGTGGCATGGGCCTGTGGTCCCAGCTATTTGGGAGGCTGAGGGGGGAGGATCATTTAAGCTCAGTAGTTTGAGGCTGCAGTGAGACAGGATCATGCCACTGTACTGCAGCCAGGGTGACAGAGAGGACCCTGTATTTTTACTAGAGATGGGGTTTTGCCACGTTGGCCAGGCTGGTCTTGAACTCCTGACCTTAGTGATCTTTTATTAAGTTCCGGGGCACAGTGCAGGATGTGCAGTTTTGTTACATAAATGTGTGCCATGATGGTTTGCTGCACTTATCACCCCCTGGGGTGTAGTGGCATATCTGCCTCCAGGGTTCCAATGGTTCTCATGCCTCAGCCTCCTACATAGTTCAGATTACAGGCACCCTCCACCATGCACGGCTAATTTTCATATTTTTAGTAGAGACAGAGTTTCACCATGTTGGCCAGGCTGGTCTCTAACTCCTGATCTCGTGATCCACCCACCTTGGCCCCCCAAATTGTTAGATACTTTGTATCGTCTGCTTTGAGAGACAGTCACCCGAGTAAGTGACCTTTGTGTTTCCTCTCTTGACAAACAGTTGTACCAAGAAGAAAACAGAACTTTTTTTTTTTACATGGAATCTCACTGTTGCTCAGGCTGGAGTGCAGCGGCACGATCATGGCTCACTGCAGCCTTTGACCTCCTGGGCTCTACCCAGCCTCCCACTTCAGCCTCCCGAGGGGCTTGGACTAGCACACTACTACATCTGCTTAATTTTTGTATATATATATTTTTAGAGACGGGGTCTCCCTATATTGTCCAGGCTGGAGTGCAGTGGCTATTCACAGGCACGATCCCACTACTGATCAGCACTGGAGTTTTCACCTGCTCCGTTTCTTACCTGGGCCGGTTCACCCCTCCTTAAGCAACCTGGTGGTCCCCCGCTCCCGGGAGGTCACCATATTGATGCCGAACTTAGTGTGCCCAGCCAGCCTCCTCTATTCTGCAAACATCCCTAACCAAGAACATTTTTTTTTCTTTTTCCGATACATCACGCAGGCTGGAGTGCAGTGGTGCAATCTCGGCTCACAGCAACCTCTGCCTCTCAGGTTCAAGCAATTGTCTTGCCTCAGGCTCCCGAGTAGCTGGGATTACAGATGGACGCCACCATACCAGGCTAATTTTTGTATTTTTAGGAGGAAAATGGAAACAAAGAAAAAAACCCAATACACTCCCAACCCCGGCTGGCCCGTGTGTACATGTTTTTTTTTTTCTTTTTCTGAACTTAAATAAAATAAAATAAAATTTAAAAAACACTAACTAGAGGCGGCAGTCAGGGGTGCACCCACTGCACTCCAAAGAAGGTCTCATCAGTGTTTCGTGAAGGCATAAATGTCCCTGTGAGGTTGGTGCAGAGCGTGTCCCCTCGGGCCAGGGGCGTCAGGCGCTGGGAGGCAACGGAACAACCTTGGTAGAAGCCGAGGCGCAGCAGGCTGAGGCTCCGGGCTGCTGGAGAGCAGATTCCCACCATCAGGGTGGCGGGGGGGCTGGGCCTGAAGAAGCAGTTGGCCAGCGTAACCTGGATGTGTACCATGTAGATGCCATCACGATGGATACGTAGCTGCCCCTTGTCCAGCTCTGGTCCATGCAGGAAGGAGCGGCCAAGTGCTGGGTTCCCCTGCCAGTATAGCCTGGGGTCCTGCCGAGGTCCTGGGGGCACAGGTTAAAGGGATGAGATGGAGGGTTGGGGACCCTGAGGCACAGGGGTCCTAGAGAAAGTCAGATGTAGAAATCGAGAGTTAGAGATCAAGGGATAGGCTGGGTGTGGCAGCTCACGCCTGTAATCCCAGCACTTTAGGAGACAGAGTGGGAGGATTGCCTGAGGTCAGGAGTTTGAGACCACCCTGGCCAACGTGGTCAAACCCCGCCTCTACAAAAAATAAAAAGCCAGGTGTGGTGCCACATGCCTCTGGTCCTGGCTACCCTTGGGAGGCTGAGGCTGGAGGATCGCTTCAGCCTGGGAGGTTGAAACTGCGGTGAGCTAAGATCATCACTGCACTCCAGCCTGGGCAAAAGAGACCCTGTCTCAAACGAACAAAAAACAAGAAAAAATAAAAAAAGGGAGGGGGATAGAAGGCTAGAGATCTAAAGGATAGAGGGGTAAGGGGAGAGAGAGGGAGAGAGAGAGAGCCATCAGGAGAGAGGAAAAAAATACAGAAACAGACAGGGGTAGAGAGAGATGGGGGAGGGAGAGAGAGCTGCACAAGAGAGGGAGAGAGAGACACACAGAGAGAGAACTGAGAGAGGGAGAGAGCAGGAGAACAAGAAGGAGATAGAGAGAGAGCGGAAAATGAGAGGGAGAGAGAGAAGGAAGAAGAGACAGCGCAATTGAGGGAGGGAGAGGGAGAGAGCAGGAGAACAAGAGGGAGAGAGAGAGAGCGGAAAATGAGAGGGAGAGAGAGGGAGAGAGACAGCGCAATTGGGAGAGGGAGAGAGAGAGCCGAAAATGAGAGGGAGAGAGAGAGGGAGAGAGAGACAGAGACAGCGCAATTGAGGGAGGGAGAGGGAGAGAGCAGGAGAACAAGAGGGAGAGAGAGAGAGCGGAAAATGAGAGGGAGAGAGAGAGGGAGAGAGAGACAGAGACAGCGCAATTGAGGGAGAGGGAGAGAGCAGGAGAACAAGAGAGAGAGGGAGGGAGAGAATAAGAGAGGGAGACAGAGAGAGAGACAGTGCAATTGAGAGAGGGAGAGGGAGAGAGCAGGAGAACAAGAGGGAGAGAGAGAGGGGAAAATGAGAGGGAGAGAGACAGCGCAATTGAGAGAGGGAGAGGGAGAGAGAGCAGGAGAATGAGAGGGAGAGAGAGAGCAGGAGAATGAGAGGGAGAGAGAGCTGAAAATGAGAGGGAGAGAGAGACAGAGACAGCGCAATTGAGAGAGGGAGAGGGAGAGAGCAGGAGAACAAGAGAGAGAGAGAGGGAGGGAGAGAATAAGAGAGGGAGACAGAGAGAGAGACAGAGACAGTGCAATTGAGAGAGGGAGAGAGCAGGAGAACAAGAGGGGGAGAGAGAGAGCAGGCAGAAAATGAGAGGGAGAGAGAGACAGAGACAGCGCAATTGAGAGAGGGAGAGGGAGAGAGAGAGACAGCAGGAGAATGAGAGGGAGAGAGAGCGGAAAATGAGAGGGAAAGAGAGACAGAGACAGCGAAATTGAGGGAGGGAGAGGGAGAGAGAGAGACAGCAGGAGAATGAGGGAGAGAGAGCAGAAAATGAGAGGCAGAGAGAGAGGGAGGGAATAAGAGAAAGAGACAGACAGTGCAATTGAGAGAGGGAGAGGGAGACAGCAGGAGAATGAGAGAGGGAGGGAGAGAATAAGAGAGGGAGACAGAGTTCGAGGGAGCGCAATTGAGAGAGGGAGAGGGAGAGACTGGGAGGACAAGAAGGAGAGAGAGAGCCGGAGAATGAGAGGGGGAGAGAGCAGAGAGAGAGAGAGCGAGGCAGAGAAAGACAGAGGGACAGAAACCAGGGGAGTGTGCGTCTGTGTGAATTCCGATAATGTTATCTTGCCTCAGCATCCCAATTGAATGTAAATTTAGTTTTCTGGCCCCACGAGCGGTGCTTCATATCCCGTGATACTGTTTTCCATTCTCCGCCTCCTCCCAGGTCCTCAGTGTTATCGACTTGGCCACGTGCCCCATACAATCACCTGCGGGGCAGCTACGCGCACCCCACTCGACTCACCCCATTAGCTCCCTCTTCCTGCACAGACCGCAGACCTGAGCCTCGGGGGTCTCCATGGAGCACACCTGCTTGCTCTTACATCCCGGATTACAACTCCCCAAGGGAAGCCCGCTCGGTAACAACCGGAACCCCACGAAAGGCTTTGGCTCCCAGACCCCACGTCCCTGCTTGCTTCTTCCCTTTTTCTTGCTTTTCACCCACTGGTTGAGCGTGTGTCTCAGCGAGCCCCCCTACCTTCCCGTCGGCCTCTTCTCTCTAGGATCTTTATTTTCTCTCTTTATTTTATTTTTCAGAGACAGAGTCTCCATCTGTTACCCAGGCTGGAGTGCAATGGCACGGTCTCGGCTCACTGCAACTCCTGCCTCCTGGGTTCAAGTGATTCTCCCACCTCAGCCTCCCAAGCAGCTGGGAGTACAGGCGCCCGTCACCACACCCGGCTAATTTTTTGTATTTTTCGTAGAGACGGGGTTTCACTATGTTGGCCAATCTGGTCCTGAACTCCTGACCTCATGATCTGCCAGCCTTAGCCTCCCAAATAGCTGAGATTACAGGTGTGAGCCACGGTGCCTGGCCAGATCAGTATTTTCTTTAGAGACAGGGTCTGGCCCTGTCACCCAGGCTGGAGTGCAGTGGTGCAATCGTAGCTCACTGCAGCCTCAACCTCTGGGGCTCAAGCGATGCCCCCATCTCAGCCTCTGGAGTCACAGGGAAGAGGCGCGCGTCACCATGACCAGCTAACTTTCAAAGAGATGGGGGTCTTGCTATGTTTCCCAGGCTGGTCTCGAACTCCTGGGCTGAAGCAATCCTCCCATCTCAGCCTCCCTAAGCGCTGGGTCCGCAGCCGTGAGCCACTGTGCTCAGCTGTATGTTTTGTGTTTCACCGCAGCATCTCCTGTCTCTTCTGTGTCTCATCTGACGGATGTACCTGAGCCTCACTCCCCTCCTCACTCAAGGCTCTCCTGGACGCTGCCTGTCTTGTTAGGAACGAACTGAACACACGTTAAACAAGAGCCATAAGGGTGTTTACCAGGTGATGCAAATTTCCTGTGACAGCGACACCCCATCCCCTGGCAGACACCTAGGCATGATGTCATCCACCAGAAGAAAGAACTAGCCTGTGCTAAAGACACACTGTCCACACCCATGACCACCGCCCTGGCGACCCGTGGATCTGGGCCAGAGTTTCCAGCCACTCTCCAGAAAGGAGCTTCAGACCAAATCACAGAAAACGCAGAGGGGGGTGGGGAGGAGGGAGAGAAAGCGAGAGAAAGGGGGGGCATATATATATATATATATCAGGGGTTAGAGAGGGTCAAGGAGAAGACAGATAAACATTTTAGTCTCGGGATGAACTGGGGATAAACAGGAAGAAGCTTCCTCTCTGAGAGAGGCTGAGAGGAGAAAGATCCCCCCACCTAGAGCAGAAGGTATCATCATCTCACCTCCCCCGGGCTTCTTGCCAATGCCACCCCCTCAGAGACACCCCCCCATCCCCACCCCAAAACGACTCCACTTTAAATGAAAACCCCAACCCTGGCACGCTCGGACGCCCATGCCCGCTTTTTCTCTAGAATCTGCTCTTCTTGGCCTTTTTACTCTACGTGACATTGCTCTGCTCGTCACATTCATTTATATGTTTTGTCATCTCCCCCTCGGTAGAAGCAGCGGCAGAAGCAAAGCTCCCCGGGCAGGGATTTCTGTCGGTTTTGTGCCCACTGCGGCACCCCAAAGTGCCTGCAACGGCAGGTGTGCAATGCGTGCTTGTGGCATGAATGGAGGGAGGGTGGCCATTCCTGCCAGCGTTTTTGTTTACTAAAACCCCCTCTGATTCTTCCAAGGAAGGAGATCAAATGTGAAGGACTGAGGGGGAAAGAGACAGACTGGGACTGGATGCTCAGAAACCCACACCTGCCCCATCGCTCTCTTCCTTTGTCTCTTGGGCCTGATGTGTCTCTCTCTTCTCTCTCTCTCATCCCCAGAGACTAAAATGTTTCTCTCTCTTCTCCTTGATCCTCTCTGACCCCTGATTATATATATATATATATATATATGCCTCTCTCTCTCTCTCTCTCCTCCCCCCTTCCTCTTTCCTGAGCCAGGGTGCAGGGACCTCACTCATTTTCATTCTCTTTTCCTTTCTTTTCTTTCTCTCTGTCTCTCCCTGACTCTCTCCCCATCTCCTCTGTCTTTTTGTGTCTGTCTCTCCCTCTCTCTCATTCTGTCTTCCCCACCTGTCTCCCTCCCTCCTCCTTCCCATCTTTTTCCCATTCTCTTCCTCTGTCTCTACCTGTTTGTTTCTTTCTGTCTCTTTCCCTCTCCTTGTTTCTTGCTGTCTCTCCCTCCCTCTCTCTGAGTCTCTTTCTCCCTCTCTCTGGGTCTCTCCCTCCCTCTCTGAGTCTCTCCCTTCCTCTCTCTGGGTCTCTCCCTCCCTCTCTGAGTCTCTCCCTCTCTCTCTCTGGGTCTCTCCCTCCCTCTCTCTGGGTCTCTCCCTCCCTCTCTGAGTCTCTCCCTCTCTCTCTCTGAGTCTCTCCCTCCCTCTCTCTGGGTCTCTCCCTCCCTCTCTGAGTCTCTCCCTCTCTCTCTCTGGGTCTCTCCCTCCCTCTCCCTGGGTCTCTCCCTCCCTTTCAGAGTCTCTCCCTCCCTCCCTCCCTCCCTCCCTCCCTCCCTCCCTCCCTCTCTCCCTCCGTCTCTCTGTGTGTCTCTTTCTGTCTCTCCTCCCTCTTCTTTCTATCTCTCCCTCCTCTCTCTGTCTCTTCTTCTCCCAGTCCCACAACGTCCCCCACTTTACCTGTGTGATTCAGCTGCAGCTCAGCCACGTCCCACTGGAAGAAAAGACCAGAAAACAGGGCACAGACGTCAGCAGAGAGGTTCTCTCTTTCCTCCGCCCATCCTGTTTCCCACCCCTACTTCCCACGGTGCGGTGCGCACTGGTGAGTTTTATTTATTTATCTGTTTTCTCCTGAAGACTTCTTAAAGAGGAAGCAGGTCTGAACCAGCGGGGAGCATAAAGTTGAGACCTTCAAAAGAACTTCTTAGTTTCCTGAATCGTTTCCTGGATGGCACCGGGCGCTGGAGTGCCCCCTCTCCGCCCCTCGCCCACCGCGCTAGCACCGGACTTTCTCCGCTGCAAAGGCGCCCGGCCCAGCGGGGCCTCCCAGGGAACCTCTTTCCCCACCCCGGGGCCAGTGGCTGGGGGACCATCCCGTCGTAGGAGGCTCCAGGAAGCCCCCACACCCAGCCTGGTGAAGCCCCCAGGAGCCTCTGAGTCAGCCTGCGGGGGGGAAGACCCGAGCCGAGTCATCTCCATGCCCACGTGCACGTCCCTTTCCCACCTCGGGATCTCCCGGTGCCTCCCGGGCAGAGCTGCCTCCCCACCCTCCCAGCCCTGACCCCCGCCCCCAGCCCCTGCCTTGCCTCCCTGCCCTGGCCTCGGTCTCTGGTCTACCAGATCTTCCTCCCGGGCCTCTCCGCCCCATCTCATTCTCATTTCGTCTTCTCCGCCAGGCGCCTCTCCGTCTCCACCCTGGCGCACGGTCCCCGCGCCCCTCTCCCAGCTTCTCTCCTGGGTGGGGGTTTCCTTCCCAACTTCCCATCTCGACTCACCCCTGGGGACTCGGGCGGCACCTGCGTGGGGTGCCAGACACAGACGGTGATGCAGATTATCACGACCGCTGCGAACAGCAGGGCCAGAGCCGCGCGCAGGACGCACGCGTGGGGCCAGCGCCGCCCCGCGCAGCCGGAACCATCCTCGGGCATCGCGGCCACCTCCGCGGGCGCAGGCGGGCGGGCAGGGCGCGGAGAGCGGCCGGCCGAAGAGGAGGAAGCAAACGGCAGCCCCCTCCCAGGGCTCCGGAGCGTCTTCGTGCCTCAACCTGTCTGGGGACCCGCCTGCCCCTCTCTGGGGATGTCCGGGCGGATCGAGGGGAGGGACTTGAGCGATTCGACCAGGGGAAATTCCCTCCAACTGCTGCCACTCTCCAGCTCCTAGACGGGTGGGGCAAGGGCCCCCGGTGAGCCTCAGAGTGGCCGGCCCGTCCTCGCCTTCAGGCAGGACACAGCCAGCCTTCCTATTTCACTCTGCACCTCATTCTTCTGGGGCCAATTCATTCATTTGTTCATTCAAGGAAGCTCCCTCCATTGCGCATTTATAACGGACTAGAAGGTATGGTGTGCACTGCAGGTACAGCCGGCAACCAGGAATTGGGGGTGCGCTCCAGATGTGTGTGTGTCCCTCTCCTGCATTTTCTTTTCTTTTTCCTTCCTTCCTTCCCTCTTTCTTTCCTTCTCTCTTGCTTTTCTTTCTCTCTTTATCTTTTTTCTTTCTTTCCTTCATTCTTTTCTCTTTCCTTCTCTTTCTGTCCTTCCTTTACTCTTTCTTTTCTTTCCTCTCCTTCTCTCCTTTCTCTTTTTCCTTTCTCCCTCCTTCCTTCCTCCCTCTCTCTCTTTCTCTCCTTTCTTTCTTTCGAGACAGAAGGTTTCATTCTGTCGCCCAGGCTGCAGTGCAGTGGCACCACCTCGGCTCACTGCAACCTCTGACTCCTGGGTTCAAGCAATTCTCCTGCCTCAGCCTCCCCAGTAGTTGGGATTACAGGTGCCCACCACCATGCCTGGCTAATTTTTTGTATTTTTAGTAGAGATGGGGTTTAACCATGTTGGCCACACTGGTTTTGAACTCCAGACCTTGGGTGATCCAACCACCTCAGGCTCCCAAAGTGCTGGGATTACAGGCGTGGGCCACTGTGCCCAGTCAGTTATCTCCTGTATTCTTGGAGACCTGTTTTTTAAAAAAGTTAAATGAAATTAAATTAATATTTTAATAGGCAGGGTGGTGCTCTGTGGCCCAGGCTGGAGAGCAGTGGCACCATCAAAGCTCACTGCAACCTCAACCTCCTGGGCTCCAGTGGCCTTCCCCTTTCAGCCTCTTGCATAGTTGGGTCTACAGGCACATGCCCAGCTAATTTAAATTTTTTTTTTTTTTTTTTTGTTAGAGGATGGGGTGTCACTATGTTACCAGGTTAGTCTCAAACTCCTGGGCTCAAGGGATCCTCCTGTGTAGGCATCCCAATGTGCCAGGATTAGAGGTGTAAGCCACCGCACCCAGCCCCTACCTTTTTTTTTTTAGATGGAGTCTCACTCTGCCACCCAGGCTGGAGTGCAATGTCACCATCTCAGCTGACTGCAACCTCCGCCTTCTGGGTTCAAGTGATTCTCCTGCCTCAGCCTCCTAAGAAGCTGAGTAGCTGGGAGCACAGGCGTGTGCCACCGCATTGGGCTAATTTTTTGTATTTTTAGTAGAGATGGGCTTTCACCGTGTTAGCCAGGATGATCTCGATCTTTTGACCTTTTGATCCACCAGCCTTGGCCTCCTAAGGTGCTGGGATTACAGGCCTGAGCCACTGCACAGGTCCCTTCCTGTTTTTGATGGTTGTAGTGGCTTAATGGTGTCCTCCCAGATTTCATGACCACCTGGAACCAAAGAATATGACCTCATTTTGAAATTCGGGGGTTTTTGCAAATGTAATTATGGTTAAATGAGGTCATACTGGATTGGGGTGGGCCCTCAGGTAGCGAGCAAATAGACACACAGAGAAGGGAGCCAGAAACGGACAGAAACAAAAACTGAATGAGGCAGCCGCAAGTCAAGAAACACCAAGGCTTGGCCAGGCGCGGGGGCTCACGCCTGTAATCCTAGCACCTTGGGAGGCCAAGGTGGGTGGATCGCTTGAGGTCAGGAGCTTGAGAACAGCCTACCAACATGGAGAAACCCCATCTCTATTAAAAATACAAAAATTTTTGGTACTCACCAACCAGGCAAAAAAAAAAATTAAAACCAAAACAAAACAAAAAATCAGCCAGGTGTGGTGTTGGGTGCCTGTAATCACAGCTACTGGGAAGCTGAGGCAGAGAATCAGGCCTGAACTTGGGAGGCGGAGTTTCAAGTGAGCTGAGATCAGGACTTGGACACCAGCCTGGCCAACATGGTGAAAACCCGTCTCTAAGAAAAATACAAAAATTATCTGGGTGTGGTGGCACATACCTGTAATCCCAGCTACTTGAGAGGCTGAGGCAGGAGAATCGCTTGAACCTGGGAGGCAAAGGCTGCAGTGAGCTGAGATCGCACCACTGCACTCCAGCCTGGGCGGCAGAGCAAGACTCCATCTCAAAAACCAAAACCAAACCAAACACCAAAACCCAAAGCAAAACAGAAACAAAGAAACACTAAGGACTGCCGGCTAAGACACTATCAAGTAAATCGGGGTAAGAGGTCATCTTGGAGGTGCTGCCCACCCCACTCCCCCAGACCTGGAGATCTAGGGCTTCTGGAAGGAAATTCCTTTAGTACTTGGGAGATCCCAGGTACTATGTAATCATATGGATATGCTGATTTCTTGGACACCCCAAAATTCCGGGCCCATTTGGCTCCCATCTTTCACCTGCCCAGCACATGCTGCAGGCTCAGGCTCTGAAGTCTCACATCTCTCCCAGTTTCTGGCCACTAGAAAGTGGAAGAAGCAATGGAGTATCCCCTGGAGCATCTGGCGCGGCTGGTGGCCCTGCTGACACCTCGATTTCAGGCTGTGTCGTCCAGAACAGTGAGAGAATACAATTCTGTTGTGCGAGGCCATCCAGTTTGTGGCACTTTGTTATGGACTCCCCAAAAAACGAATCCGAAGGTCTAGTTAGAGCATAAAGGCCATCCTGACCTTGCACGATGGTAAGAGGATGTACGAGTCAGCTCTCACTACCGTTGCCAACTGGGCGTGGCTAACGTTCGCTTGTAGACAGTGACATTCCAACGTTTTGTTACACATTGTTGATGTGGGTGGGGGGCACAAGGGGATTTTATGGACCATTTCTGCAGCTTCTTCTGAGTCTTAAACTATTTCACAAGAAAAAGTTACATTCATTAGCCAGGCGTACTGGCAGGCGCCTGTAATCCCTGCTCCTCGGGAAGCTGAGGCAGGAGAACGGCTTGCACCTGGGAGGCGGAGGTTGTAGTGAGCCGAGATGGTGCCATTTCACTCCAGCCTGGGGGGACAAGAATGAGACTTTGTCTCAAAAAAAAAAAAAACAAAAAAACCCTAAAACAAGTTACACTCAACTCCTGTTATTTGCGGTAGTTACATTCCTTGAACATTAACAATTGCTTCGAAGGGAAATTGTATGGTTAGGGGCTGGGTGCGGTGGCTCACACCTGTAATCCCAGCACCTTGGGAGGCCCAGGTGGACGGTTCCCTCGAGGTCAAGAGTTCGAGACCAGCCTGGCTAACATGGTGGAACGCTGTGTCTACTAAAAATATAAAAATTAGCTGGGTGTGGTGGCAGGCGCCTGTAATCCCAGCTGCTCAGCAGGCTGAGGTAGAAGAATTGCTTAAACCTGGGAGGCGGAGGTTGCAGTTAGCTGAGATTGCACCATTGCACTCCAGCCTGGGTGATGAAGTGAGACTCTGAGTTAAAACAAAAGAAATGTAGTCTGGGTGTGGTGGCTCACGCCTGTAATCCCAGCATTTTGGGAGGCCGAGGCAGGAGAATCATGAGGTCAAGGGTTCAAAACAAGCCTAGCTAACATGGTGAAACCCTGTCTCTACTAAAAATACAAAATAATTAGCCAGGCATGGTGGCAGGCACCTGTAATCTCAGCTACTCGGGAGGCTGAGGTAGAAGAATTGCTTAAACCTGGGAGGCGGAGGTTGCAGTGAGCTAAAATTGCACCATTGCACTCCAGCCTGGGTGAAAGAGTGAGACTTTGTCTCAAAAATAAAAGTCTCTCTATCTATCTATCTATCTATCTATCTATCTATCTATCTATCTATCTATATTACACACACACACACACACACACACACACACACATCAGGTTCCTGAGAGTCTCTCTCTCATCTATCTATATTACACACACACACACACACACACACACCACACACACACACACATCAGGTTCCTGAGAGTCTCTCTTTCTCTCTCTATCTATATTACACACACACACACACACACAATCAGGTCCCTGAGAGCCTCTCTCTCTCTATCACACACACACACACACACACACACACAATCAGGTTCCTGAGAGCCTCTCTCTATATATATTACACACACACAGACACACACACACATCAGGTTCCTGAGAGCCTCTCTCTATATTACACACACACACACACACACACACACATCAGGTTCCTGAGAGCCTATCTATATTACACACACACACACACATCAGGTTCCTGAGAGCCTCTCTCTCTATATTACACACACACACACACACACACATCAGGTCCCTGAGAGCCTCTCTCTATCTATATTACACACACACACACACACACACACATCAGGTTCCTGAGAGTCTCTCTCTCTCTCTCTATCTATATTACACACACACACACACACATCAGGTCCCTGAGAGCCTCTATCTATCTATATTACACACACACACACACACACACATCAGGTTCCTGAGAGTCTCTCTCTCTCTCTCTCTATCTATATTACACACACACACACACACACACATCAGGTCCCTGAGAGCCTCTCTCTCTATATATATATTACACACACACACACAAACACACACACACAATCAGGTTCCTGAGAGTCTCTCTCTATCTATATTACACACACACACACATCAGGTTCCTGAGAGCCTCTCTCTCTCTCATCTATATTACACACACACACACACATATCAGGTTCCTGAGAGCCTCTCTCTCTCTCGCTCATCTATCTATATTACACACACACACACACACACACACATATCAGGTTCCTGAGAGTCTCTATCTATATTACACACACACACACACACACACACACACACACATCAGGTTCCTGAGAGTCTCTATATTACACACACACACACACACACCAGGTTCCTGAGAGTCTCTATCTATATTACACACACACACACACACATCAGGTTCCTGAGAGTCTCTATCTATATTACACACACACACACACACACACACACACATCAGGTTCCTGAGAGTCTCTATATTACACACACACACACACACACCAGGTTCCTGAGAGTCTCTATCTATATTACACACACACACACACACATCAGGTTCCTGAGAGTCTCTATCTATATTACACACACACACACACACACACCAGGTTCCTGAGAGTCTCTATATTACACACACACACACACACACCAGGTTCCTGAGAGTCTCTATATTACACACACACACACACACACACA